AAGATTGCAGTTTTTTAAAAAGTTAATTAGGTGAGCAAGGTCTGGAGTGAATTTTAACTCTGCTCCCATTTTACTGTACAAGCCTAACAAAACAGGATTGCATAGGCAAAAAAAGTGTGCATGATGTGAGCGATGACTAAACCCATGAACCTGTCAAAATCATTAGTTACACCAGCATATTCATTCTTTCATTCTGGCACCATGGCTATGTGAACCATGTGCATATTTAACATAAATCTAGATGGAGATTGGGAATATAAATCACATTGCATTACGCCAATCATTCTAGTATGATTAAAATGAACCATGGCTTAGTGATGTGATGTGTGGCCCTAAATGTAATGTCATGACCAGAGGTTGGTTACTAAGTCAGATCACAGTGTTATGATCATCAAGATATATTTCCAAGGAGTAGAGTCTGCTTCTTGATCATATGTTATACATATAAAATGTGGTACGAAGTCATACATCAGTGTTTTTTGCTGTTTACCAGAAGAAACATTAAATTGATACGTATGATTTCCATCAGTTTGTAAAATAATTCAATTTAGCATTAGAGCTTATGTAGGATATATTGGACAGCAAGGGATCTCCAGCATTTTCAATCTTCAGTGAATACTTCAGCATTTTCCCATGTGATGTTTAGATTCTTTAAGTCTTCTATGAATGTTATTTGCCATATATTTTGGGGGCATCCTCTTAATCATTTGGCATCTGGGGGGGTATCTCATTGCTATCTTGGGGATTCAATTGTTCTCCATGCAGAGAATATGACCTGCAAGTTGGATCTGCATGTAACAATGTTATATAGTTTGTAGGAGAAACTCTTCTGAAGCACTTTTTCATTAATAATATGGTCAAAACAGTGAATCCTTAGAAAGATGTAAAGTCTCTTGTTAATATTTGCTGATCCCTTTTCGCTGGCATAAATGACTGTTGGAATCATTATAGAAGCAAGCAAATGGAGTTTAAGTTTTAGTGATATAAATAACAAGGATCAGATTTTATTTATCTTCTGGAAAACAGCTGTTGCTTTTCCAATGAAGCAGTTGATATCCATCTCTGCATCTCCATTTTGAGCGATTACACTGCCTAAATTTCTACTTCTTCAAGTTGCTGTGGTCCTAGTGTGATTCATTGTGTATCTGTGTGGTGGAGTTCACATACATGACCTTTGATTTTTTGGCACTTATCCTGAGGCTAATTTTGGTTGCTGCTTCATCTAAGACAGTAGTCACTCATCGTAGTTTCAGTTCAACTTCCTCAAATAGGGCAATATCTGAAAATTATGGTCCCCAAGATATTCCAGTGTCGTCATATAAGCCAACGGCTCAAAACAACTGTTGCTTGGTTAAGTAAATTTTCTGGAGATCCTTCTTGCTGTTTCTGTAGCGGGTATAATTTTTTACAGGGATGGGTTGCTAGCCCGACAATCAACGATATTCCTTTCTCATTTGGGCTTGGGACCAGCAATGGTGGATGTATAATAATTAAGTCAAAATAATTTGAGTTAAAATAATTCAATATTTAATGTATTTATTTTTATTCAGTGTTTCTCAGTGCTTCATGTTCTCTGCTTCTCTTGCAGGTAGGAGTAGTAAAACAAATGGAAACTGCTGCTTTGAAGGCTATTGGAGAGAACAAAAGCTCTCTTTTTACCCGAAAATTAACTTCACTCTATACCAAAGCTACATTTCTAGGAGAAGATATCCTTTTATTATGGATGTTAAATTATTTTGATGACATTTATTTTCGTGTACCTCTTATTCGTTCGTTTGAAATGTACTCTGTTTATTCTTCTAGTTACATTTACACCTGCTTCGTCTGTTTTGCTTCAAATTGCCCATATTAGGGATGATGGTTTTCCTGTTGTGGTTTTCTATAGCATTTTATTGTATAGGTTATTGTACAAAACTCATTACGTGAATATGATGTAGTTTTAACTTTAATTCTATTTGCTTCAAAAGTCTGTCACAGGGTTAGGGGAAAGGTGATTTGGGGGATTTAAAATACAATCTATGAAAATAAAAAATCATTTGGAGAATCTTGGTTTTTTTAAAAAGTGATAACACAGAACGACATTTAGAAGTTTGTAAAATAAATTGGTGGGGAAACCCCAAATTTTCTTTAATTCTAGTTGAGAATGTCTATCCCAACGAGATAGAGAATAAAACCTTCACAAAATGGCCTTGTACAAAAGTAAAAGTTTCAGATCATATTGTATTTGGGTTATGTTAAAAGTACATATAGAATTAATTTCCTTTAACACTTTGCTACATTTGAATCCCCTGTTGAAATTAGATAATTCAATGGAGGCTGAGGAAATCTCTTCTAATGTTTGCGATAATTATCTTCTCTGCATCTCTGAAAACAAAGAAAATTTAAACCATAAGAATCACAACATTGTTTTGGGTGTAGTGGTAAGCATTTCTAAAAAGCTTTAATTTATAATTATAGCTATAGACATTGTAATTGTTCACAATGTATCCAACTGTATTTCAATATAAATACAATACAGTGGGTATCTTGGTGCTCAGCCACATTGAAACTCATCAAATTTGGTACTCAACACATTTTGATACAAACATTTTGTCCTGGTACTCATTGTTTTTTTGGTGCTCAATGCACAAGCTAGAACTGGTTGGTATTGGTTACCGTGTGACTCAATATATTATTCTTTATGGTAAAAATTTGTTTAATCCTGTTGAGAATTTCCATCCCAACTAGATAGAGAATAAAACCTTCACAAAATGGCCTTGTACAAAAGTGAAAGTTTCAGATTGGCATATTGTTTGGTAATTATTGCCCCTTCCAGAACCAATTAATGAAGTACACTGTAATTTGTTTTAGTACAGTACCAGCAATGAAGGGGACTTTTTCAGCTGCTGCTTTTCTGTTGGCTTTACAAGAACTTTAAGGGTCAGAGTACCTTCAAGAATGGGTTGGTTGTAGAGTGGACAGATTGAAAGGTTAGGGTTATTTTGTCAATTCTTCTCACCGATTTTTCAAACCGATCCCTTTGCCCAATCTTTTTGAAATAGTTTTGGGGAGACTGATAGTGGGAAGAAAAAGTGGAAATGTTGCATTCTGACAGATGCTACTGAGTAATATAATACAAGGAGTAGTAAATTCAATCCAGGTTGGTTTGCTTTATATATAACTTTTATAGATTGGTAAGGTAAGGTAAGGTTGAGGGTTGATGCATTCCACTGAAGCCTTGTTGCTTTCAGCAGAAAAAAAGTGGAATCAGTTCAGGACAAATCCAATTTTATATAAGAAAATCTGGGGAATTATTAAAGTTGACAGTTTATATTAATCTTCCCCAACTGACCTTACCTCTTCCCCTCATTCATTACAAAAGGATCATTGACTTAACTGGGTAAGATTCATTTAAGTCATAATCCGGAGTATCTGTAAAGTAGCATCTTGAGCAACACCAAAACACCAAAGCCTCCTAGAGTATCTCCAAGCAAGGTAGATGGCAAATAAATTAATCAAGCAAGCAAGCAAACAAATACTGGATCCCAGAATTTGGAATTCGTTGAAACTTAACTAAAAGCAGGATCATAAATAAAAAATGGATTTGAAACAAATGTGTGATATGAACTATACCATGTGCAGTGATATTCACTGTTTTAGCAGTTTTAAACAATGAAGTCAGCTTAATAATGGTCTTCGTTGGGCAATTGAATGGTTGATTACTAAGTACTTCTGGCAAATACACAAGACATCTGTATGGCTGAAGACAAATAATAGCTACATATTGTATGGACATTTCATGTAAATAAAAAATAAACATTCTTTAGAATCATTCTATGTTTAAGTTGGTTTATTAAACTCGGAGAAAGAGAGAGAGAGAAAGAAAGAAATTAGATGGCTTAAGGTTTCACAGAGTTATTCTATCTGGAAAATAATTTATGAAGTTGCTATATTCTTTTTTCAGGCGGTCCAACCTACTACAGGAGAGGTTCTGTTTGACAGTTTTCAAGATTCTGTAGCTCGTTTAGAGTTGGAAAATCTAATACTACGCCTGCAGCCAGTTGAGATTATTCTTCCTAGAGATGTGTCAGATCAGACTGAGAAGCTTATAATTAGAATGACTTCTGTATGGTAAGCTTCTATATAATAGAACAATTTGATATTTATTTCAAACATTACTTTAAAGTCCTGTTCAGATTTTTGTAAGTATGAGAAGTGAGCAAGTCCTTATACGTACCTTTCTTGACCCTTTTTCTTGATAATAAGTAATCATTTAATGTTGTACTAGGTTTTCTGATCTGGAATACTACCATTTATCCCCATATTTATTTATATGGCTGTTACTTCAGATATAGATAAGGATAGTATTTATTGGGATAGGACTGGATCTTCATCAAAGATCCTATATTACTTCCATAGCATGAAGATAATGCATTGTCAAATCATGGAGATTTCTAGAACAAATCTTGAATGTAATGGTTATTAAAAAAAATTCTTTTGAGGCATTAATGAAGACTATCGCCATTAATTCTCCAGTGTCTTTTTTTTCTTTTTTCAGTATGTTCCTGTCTGAAATACATACATACATACATACATATATACACACACATACACATAATATATATGACATGTACTCTTGAAATGTTTACTCATAACTAGATTTATCTTTTTTAAATTCTACAGAAGGAATTATTAAAATAGTATGCTATGTGTGTGTGTATGTAAGATCAAATAATAAAGGTAAAGAAGCACAGTGAAAAAATTGGATTAAAATTAAATACAGATAGTCCTTGATTAATGCCACAACTGAGCCTAATACTTCATTGCTAAATGAAACAGTTAAATGGACTTTGCCCTTTCTTGCCATATTTGTTTAAATGAATCACTGCAGTTAAGTTATTAACAAGGTTGTTCAGTGAATCTGGCTTCCCCATTGACTTTGCTTGTCAGAAGGTTGCAAAAAGGGATCACAGGACCCCAGGACATTGCAATTGTCAAAAATATTTGCCAGTTGCAAATGTCTGAATTTTGATCACATATATGTTTGGAAGTTGCAGTGGTTGTAAGAGTGAAAAATGATCATAAGTTACTTTTTTCAGTGCCATTGTAATTTTGAACTGTCATTAAATGAACTATTGTAAGTCGAGGATTACCAGTATAAAAAAGATCAAGCTAATGATAACAGGTAGAATAACCAGCCTTAGAATTGACAATTAAGATATTGAAGTGGGGGGGGGGGGTAGCTTCTTTTAAGATCTACCATGAGTGGTAAAGGAATAAGCAGTCAATAACTATGCTGCAGACTGGCACTTGGTAGAACAGCCATGAAGACCTTGGAAAAGATATTCAGATACTTCAGTGTGTCTTTACCTACAAATAATCAGAGTTATGCAAGCCATGGTATTCCCTGTGACACTTTGTGGAAGCAAATGGTAGACTTTGAAAAGCAGGATAGGGAGAGTATTGACACTTTTGAACTTTGGTGTTTGAGAAGACTTGTCAAATAAATCAACCCATAGTTCCCCCTCAAGATATAAATGACCAGTCCTAAATTATCCTACTTCACACATATTGTGCAAAAACCTATCTCTCTGGAGAAGTCTGTGAAAGAATAGTGGAGAAGGTGGAAGGAAAGAAAAGAGAACTGTTAGCCTTATGAGTTACATCAGACAGGAAAGACTGCCAGATGAACTAATTGAACTTTATTGTTAAGGTCATGTGAACAGAATCTTACAAGTCTGAAAGTACATTTCTCTCACTGTCCCATTTATAGCCCTCCAAATTAGGAAAACCTTGAACACCATGGCCTCTTGAACACCTTGGCCCACCCACATTACTATTGCAGCGAAGTTGCCTTTTATCTGGTTCTCTGTGTTTCTTCTCTCTGTCTCCCAACAGAATGATTAAAGGCTAATAGGTCTTTAGAAGATAACTTGCTATTTATGTCTCTAAAAACCATTGGATTCTAACCAATGTAATGTATCTTTAACATTCTAAAATCTCAGTTTGAAAGCTGTTCCAAGTAGGGCTTGGGCTACAACAGAGTTCAAGATATTCATTTGGGGGTGATATGCTAGAATCACATAGAAAAAAATTCCCTATTTGTTCATGACCTCTACCTATTTGATGTTTTGGTTAGCCTTCCACAACCTGCTATTTTTCAAAGGTTAACTCTGTGCTGGGAAACAGTCGTAGGAATTGAAATTCAGCACAACTGAGGAGGATGGGGAGGTCTAATTTAGGCTGTCTTGTATCTAAATAATTCTAGTACTGACACAAAGTTGTTGCAGTCTTTAATAGCAGTGGCAGAGATCTGGAATTGAGGAAAAAAAACATATTTTTTTTCTGTTATAGGAGAAGGTTTTTTTTCATAATTAGAAGAATCATCTTATGACATAATCTTTTAGGTTAGAGCTACATGTTTGTATTGTTATTGCTATTCCAGTACTTAAGGTCACATTTTTCACATTCTGTCTTTAAACCAAATGGATTAAGCATTTGGAAACCAATGAATTAGAGCAGGCCTGTCAAACTCCCAGCCCGTGTTGGCCACGCCCACACCTGGTTTAGCGAAGGGGGAAAAAGTCCTGATATATGTCGCGTAATGCCGCTGTGACGACGTGAGTTTGACACCCCTGAATTAGAGGATTGAGTGAGCATATGAACTCCGTTTGCATATTTAGAACTCCATTTTCATATTAAATATAGATATTATTTATTTATTTTTCTTAAAGGTCTTTCTTTCATGTTTCTTAGAAACTTTTTATTGTACCTGTAGTCTCCCATAATATTGAAGCAGTGAAGCAACATGAATTACATTGCTTAGGAACTTTGTCTTTTGTAAATGTTGGGGACTTTAAAATAAATATTTTCTTTTGTGGCTTTGCAAAAAATTAAGGGAAGGGAGAGGTCTTACAAATCTCATTCTAATTGGGGCTGAAACTGGTTGTAATCTTATTCAAAGATGGTATCCATAGGAAGTGAATATATTTCTACACAGAGATACTGAAATAAAGCAGTGCTTCTATTTTTTTTAGGCATAATACAAAGATATCAGTACCGACAAAAAAAATAACCTAGAAAAATGTGTTCAGAAAAAAACCCTAAAAGTTGTATGTAAGCATGTTATTTTCCCTTCTCATGAAAAAGGTTAGGTAAAAAATGATTGTTTGATAGAGAACTATATCTTGCATTCCAGGGGTGAGTAGTTTGCAGAAAATAATTATTGCCATTTGAAGAACCATCATAGATACTACTAGGAGCGAAATAAAAGTGTTTGCAAATCCAAGTCTTAGCGGTACAAAAGCAAGTAATAATAAAGATGTATTAGCTATTGCATTGAATCAGTTCAAAAAACAACAAACAAACAAAAATTTAATTTGCTCAGTTTTAGGTAAAACATCTTGAAGAATAACTATCAGTGGAATCTTAAATGTTGGCATTCAGTAATTTGTGTTTGGTGTTTGAAAGCTTGTAGAAAAATTAATTGTGTTGCTTATTCATTAATTGTAGAGATTTTATTAGAACTATTTCATAGTGTATGAAAATCCAATAAATACTCATATTTCTATTCATAGTGTTTTATTTGTTATTTTACTTGTTAAATCAGATTATTTGTTGCCCTCCTTCAGTTCTTTATCTATACAGTAGGAGTAACAAAGTACTATGCTACAGTATGCTTGCTGCATGATTCTTTTTCAAAAGTATCTTCATCTGTTCTTACTTGTATTTTAAATGCCTTGTACAGTACTAGTTTTCAAATGATCCCGGAACTTGTCTCTTTATCTATTTTCTGCATTATTATTTGTAATTTTAACAATTATTTAGGTAATATTTGCTTCTCTTTCCTCTTGTAGAAATTCAGGCTTTTGATATAATTAGAAGAATAGTTCAAAAATGCAAAAATATAAAATTGGGTCTAATGTTAGCTTAAGCAGAGGTCAGATTTATTCCACAGCTTCATCATAAGATTGTAACCCTTATCTGTTATAGGAGTATGGGTCTTACTTACTGGTAGAGCATAATTAGAATTAAGGATTGTTGGAGTGAGCCCAAACTGGACTTCAAAAATCTGTACAGCCATTAGATGGCATTAAGATTTATGTTGCCTTTTAATAATTGTCTAATTTTCTGCGGCACAGATGTACTAACTTATTTTTAGCTCTGGACTCAAGGAATGGGTCCAAGAGCAAGTCAGCAATGGAGACCCGTTAGTAACATAATTTTTGTATTCTGGATTAATTGTTTTGTGTCTTCTCAGAGGTGGTAGGCCAGAATTTTCATCATTTATCATTTCTTGGAGTTTTGATAGGAGAATAAATGATGAATGGGTAACTTAAAACTCCTGTGATGAAATGTTTCAAAGTGACTTTGGGCTGCTGCATGTATTTCCAAATTCTCTTTTGGTATTGAATCTTTTATGGCTCCAAAACTACTTTCAACTGAGTGGTTTCTGGGTTTAATTCAAACAGGATCTTGATGCAAACATTTAATCTTTGTTTCATGTGAGGACCAGACATACATAATTAATTACTGTTCATGAATCTTTATCTCTCATATGCATGAAAAGCCAAAATCCCTACTTTGCATTGATTACATTGATACATTTGTCAGTAATTATTTCCTAGACTTCTTAGAATTCAGAGTTAAGCAAAATGTTTTAAATGTCTTCAACAATCATTAAAAATAGCAAACATGGCATGGCAAAACTCCTTGCTCAACCATGTAAGCATGTCTTAGCTTCTAAAATCTAGCTGGCTATTGATCAGAAGAAGGACCTTTTAGGAGATAATTTAATACCTGACACCATTTATTTTACAAATGAAAAAAAGGCTTTCATTTCAATGGTGTGAAAACAATTTGGGTAACAAGATGTTCTATCCTGAGTCTTTCACATCAGGTTAGTCAAACTAACAAAATAATAGTACAATTACTGTCATTCTTTTAGAAATGTAAATATTGCAGGACTTAGCTAGAGGAAAGAGAGTAACATTTAAAGTCCAAATTCAGAACTCTAAATCTTCCTTGGAATTGAATTTGTAGAAAGTGAATCCTTTCAAAATGCATTAAGGAAAGGTCACCTTTCAAACCAACTTGATTTAAGTTTCACTTGGAAAAATTGTCATTTGTGTGAATGTTGAAGTAAAGTATGGAGAGCTTTTGCTATTGTTCAGCTGTATGTAACAGCATAGTAAAGTTAAAAATGTCAATTTTTACAGTTTACAAGATGACAGAATACGAATTGAAAGAATGAAAAATGAACATTTTGAGTACGGAAGTGCTTTTAAGACGATTACAGATTTCTATGGCAGTCAAATACTTGATGGCACAGGTATCGAATCCAAAAAGATTTATTTAATTAGCAATTGTATGTATTACAGGTGACTTGATTGTTTATAAAACTTCTTTGTGTCATGTTAGTTTGACATAATTTACAAAATATTTATTTACATTTATGAAGTTAATAGTTTTTAAGATGAATATATGTACTTATATATTATTTATTTTTCGTACAACAGGTTTTAGTAGCAGGAAAAAAATTATTTCCTGTTCTTTTGAGCTGGTAAAAACTAATTTTAAGCTAGTAATGCCTTAAATCAAAACATAAAGTTAGTTCAAAATTTCAACTTTACACTAGTAATTTGTACAGTATGTTAATCCTTATTTATTTCTGAACAAAGTACATTGGGAATCCTGTCTGTTTTTTAGAAATGTTTTTAGTAGTCAGTTTGACTTAAAATTAATTTGTTAGTTTTTTACGGTGAGTAAATAAATGAGTTCAATAAAAATCCAAGAAAAGGTAAATTTGTAGGAACATAGATCTTTGGTACTCCAGAAAATAATTTTGTGATAGTAATGATTAAGATGCCATTTGGAACTGCTGTTTTTTCCAGGTTCTCAAGCATTGTCCCAGATTTTAAAATTCAATAAATCAGTGTTGTGCTCCTTGGCTGCTGTAATCTTGTATCTTAAAGAATTTAATTTAGAGAAGATACTCTATAACCCCAGGTAAATAGTTTTAATTTTGATAACTAAAACTGTTGTTACTTTGACTTACATACTATAAAAATATTGTTTCACAAAATAAGTGCACTATAATTGTGATATCTAAGTTATAATGAAAATTATATTTAGAAGTAGAAAAAAATTAAAGCTATGTTTCCAGCTAATGGTATTTGCAATTCAAATAAGTTGTACATAGACAATGTATACCTATATATCTATATATCTATCTCCTCCAGTGCAATCTGTAAATTATAGTTGCAGATTCATGACAACAATGTTGCTAACAAATAATTTCTGAAAATACAGCCTAGAAAACTGTTTGAAGTTGCCTGTGTAGTCGCCAGTAGTCAAGAATGTAGGCAAATACATATGCCCAATTTAAAATTTTCATTCTCAATCCAATATATGTCAGAAAAACAACAACAATAAAAAGCATATTAAGAAATAACAACAAAAGCAACATTATAACAGAGGAATGAAAATATCACTGAATTAATACCTTAATAAATAATAGGTATTATTAAGTAGGTGATAGGGTAAATATTCAGCCAAACTGCTGAAGTTAAAGCAAAAGATCTTTTACTGTGCAGACTGTAATAAAGAGCTTGGTAGGAAAACAAAAGATCTACAGAGTTGACTAGTTTTTTAAAAATAGTCAGCTAAGTCTGTTGCTTCTAATGGTACAGAATTCAAGTGACATATGTGCTGGCAAAACCTCACATCCATCTTTCTTTTGTTGCTTCTTCTTAAGGTAGCTATGAAAAAGACTGAATTTCTTCTCACTATCTCAGATTTTCAAATTTAGCTGAATGAAAGCTCCTGATTTAGACAATTTGCCAAAGTCCCAAGGACAGGAAGAACTATTGTTTTTTAAAGGACTTCCTGTTAACATATGTTTGGTCAACCAGACATTTCTAAGTTCTGGAAGAATCTATCTCTTAAGATGTCCTTAGGGCAATCTTCTTCCTTTCCTCTTCAGTTGTGAGTTTATTAGCGTTGCCTTTTAACTCTCAATTTCTGATTTTAGAGCCACAATGTCTTTGGCCTAGGACGAATGTATCTTAGGAATCAACTGTGTTCAATCCCATATGAAATAAATTATCTCAGTTAACTCATCCATGAAGCTGTTTAAATTTACTATGAAAATCAGTAGCACTTAGATTTATATATCCCTATATAGTGCTTTTACAGCACTCTGAGTGATTTACAAATGTCAGTATATTGCTCCCAACAATCTTGGTCTTCATTTTACCCACCTCAGAAGGATGGAAGGCTGAGTCAACCTTGAGCTGGTCAGGATTGAACTTCTGGCTAGGGGCAGAGTTAGCCTGCAATACTGTGTTCTAACCACTGCGCATCATGGCAATATATAGGAATGAGACATTTAGGTATCTACCTAAAAAGTGAAGATAGCCACTAGCATCACTAAATTTTTAAAATTTATAATGAATTTTAAATTAGAATTAAGTTTTTTTAATGAAAATGTATGTATTAATGTAAATTGCAATGTTTAATGTATTAAGTAAAATGAATCACATGTTCTTTCATAACTATTACTCTTGAGTTTGTCTTTTTCTTGCAATGTATAAAATTAAAGTTATTTTTAGAGTTCCGGTGATTGTTTTGTTTCTTTAATGTGGATGCTTTTTTTTCTTTAAGTAATTTTAAAAAGTTATCAAGTGAAGATGAATATATGATGCTAAATGGAGCTACGTTAAAGAATCTTGAAATCTTGCGGAATCAAGTAAGGAAGAATTATCTTACGTATTTATGTGCTTTGTGAATGAAGCTTTACATTATTCTTTCCAGCCCTTTTTGGTCTGTATATACATTTCACCCACCTTTCAATTAAGTAAAATTAAATCAAATACCACATCCTCGAAGCTGGTAATTCTTAAAAATAATGCCATTGAGAAAAAGAATTCACAGTGGAGTTACTTTTCTGAAATGACTGTAATTAAACCCAAGTTTATATCTGGTAGCAAAGAGGCAAGAGAATGAATCTGAAGTGGAATTTGAAGACTAAATTGATTTCTGCCAGCACACGAGAGGTCGCCCAGAAGAGCCTCACTGCACATGTCCGTGTGGGCCGCTGCCCAAAAGCTGATTATTGGGTATCTGGCGTGCATGTGCAGGAGATGCACATGTATGCGCAGAGATGCGCAGCGCACAGGAAGGTCTTGGGGGGGGCAATGCGTGCATGCACAGGGGCCGTGGGGGGGGGGGCAGCACGCATTGCCTTCTCGGTGCTGGCATGCTTGTGTGCGTGCAATTTTTGGCACAGGAGCCGAAAAAGGTTGGCCACCACTGTGCTATCATGTCACCCCTAGTACTTTTCATCAAATCAGACATCTCAATTCCAGCAACCATTCTTTATATGTTTTAGCCTCTAGTCTTTTAATCTTTGTTGATTTATGGTGGAATCGACAGTAAAATAGTCAAATTTGAGAGTCAGAATCAAGGTTCAGCACTTTGAGCTGTACAGTCTGTAGTTTATCAGAGACTGACAGAATTCCAACATGTTCCAGTGCTTTACTTTAGATTAAGAGTTTTTATATATTTGAACTGCCTGGCCTTTATTGAGCACAGCTTGTACTGATTGTAATTACTGATGCTGAAGTCCTGGGCACATTAATTCCTAAGGTGAGGTTCCTAGCACTGCTTTGTCTCTACTCTTTAATTTTAACAGTGGTGTCATCATCTTCGGGCTTTGAAGCTCTGTCTCTATGTTGGCCTGGACTAGAGAGTTTGAAAAACTGGATCATGATTCCATGGAGCTGTGCCATGGAATTACTGAATTAGATTTGTAAGATTCATTACATAGTTCCTAGTCTCCCCTCTCCTCAGAAACAGAATTAAGCTGATGATAGACTTTTAAAAAGTATAAAAAGTATCACCAGTATTACCAGTGTAAACTATTTTTAAGAAAACTAAAAGGGAAAAAAAAGGAAGCAGGTGTTTAATAGCAATAGCACATAGACTGATATACAGCAAAATAGCAATAGCACTTAGACTTACATACCACTTCACGGTTTACAGAGTCAGCATATTGCCCCTAATAATCTGAGCCCTTAAGTTGAATTGTATGGTTTTTGATGCTGTTTTTATATTTGGTATGTCTAAAATATTTCTACAATGCATTCATCCCTCTAGAATTAACCATTTGAGTTGCTATTTCAGATTCATATTTTATACTGAAGCTCCAGTTTATTAATTTAATGCCTATAATTATTTTAGACTGATATGAAAACCAAAGGCAGTCTTTTCTGTATCTTGGATCATACAAAAACTTCATTTGGACGACGAAAACTAAAGAAGTGGGTCACACAGCCTCTCTTGAAATCCAGGTATTTGTTACCAAACAAATCACTGATGTTGATCAACTCAAATGTATTTAACTTTTGAGTACCATTATATAAAGAAGCTAGGTGAGTTGAATAATACAAACGTAAAGAAAAAAGTCCCGGCATTCAAACTAATGTTGTCACTCAGTGTTTCTTAATAGACAGATAATTTCCAGCAATGTTATTTTGTGTGTATTTGTGTGCGTGTATGTCTTTTGATTACTTCCTTTAAAAATAGAATGATACTGTTTCACAATTTTTATTGCTTATATTTTACTTATAACAGAGTTGGGCAATAGCAATCAGATAACTGCATAAAATATTTTTTTAATAAGTTGCCATTATGCTTGCTCAAAGAAAGTTCCATTAATGTCTTCCAGATTGGTAGAATGTAAACTGGAATGAACTGATCCTTAAAGGGAAGACTTTAGTGCCTCATGGTCGCTATTTGATTGCTAAATCTTTAAACATGGAATGTTATGTAAAATACTGACCTGTCAACAATTTATCTACAGTGATATATCAAAAAAGCTGTTTTTTCCCCCCCTAATCAGTGTGTATTCAACCAGCTTCCTCTCTCAACATTATGATAAATTACTGTGGTTGCAGCTAAGCGTGCTATAATTGTAGTTCAGAATCATTCTGTTAACAGCTTTTCATTATAACATTATGCTAGATAGCTCATCTTTTCCCAAGAGTTTTCCCAATCTGTGACTAAAGCCTCTTCTAGATACAATAGGAATTTTGCTGAAAATTTGAAAAATAGTTTAAAGTCATCTGAGGAAAATGTGTAAATGGGCTATTAACAGAGAAGAAAAGCCAACATACCAATATGTTATATATGTGAAATGAACCGGTTTCTGATCCAGTGTTGGACTGAGTTTTTCCAGACCAAGGTTTTAATATTTTTCTGTGGTGAAATGCAAGGATTCTTAGATCAGCAATTAGTATCACAATATTTTGATGTAGAAGCAAAGCTGGGGTAGATATGATATTAAAACATAATAGATAATGGAATCTTATAATACGGTAGTTACGAATTTATTTCCATATGGGTAAACCTCTTATGCTAGATATTGTAAACTGATTACTTAATCACCAATAAATGCAGTTCCATTATATGAAGATACTGGTAATCCAGTATACATAGGGATGAAAATATGGTTATAGTATTTAGGATAAAAGAATGATACCGTCAGTACAAGTTGTGGCAAAAACCCTCTGTATTCAAACCTAGAAACAGTTGCAAGCTCTCCCGCAGTTAAAACCATTTCTGAGGAACAAGCATCTTTCTTATTCACCTCCTACCCATCCACCTGGGTTTGTTTGATCAGCCATGTTAATAGATTTCTGAGTGCTAATGGGGAAGGGGCAACATGAACGTTTAGGGCAGGTTTTAAGAGGGAGAGCAAAAAGGAAGGCTTCTATGACCCTTATAAATGGCACTCCTGAATGATGAGAGAGCCTATCCTGCTTAACCCTGTTGGATAGTTGCTGTTCTAGAACAAAGATCAAAAGATCTATATTAAAAAAATACCTCAGGAGCTTTATCTCACTAATGTGAACGAGTTCAGAGAAGGCAGCACAGATTTTCATAGTTATGCAAAAGCTTTATGTACAGTAAATGTTTCATTGTCTTTCAAAAGCAATGTAAAACAGAATGCATTTGGCTGGTCTGTTGTATTGCATTTAGGGAAATTTAATATTGTTTGAGCTTGCTAACATAAAGTCATGTAATCTGTTGTAATAAAAATGATGTGCAAACAATGGAATTCTATTTTAGGTAATATATTAAATTGCTCAAACAATACAGTTTTAACTGAATGATAGGACTGAATGAATCCAGCAGTACAGGAATACAAAACTAGGAAAGCAAAAGCATGATTAGAACATTGTTTTTATAAAAAGGACATGGGAGTATCCTGGATGGTGGCCTGCCAAGAGTCTTTTTGTTTGTAATGGATATAAATTGAACAAAACAAACAAACATGCAAACATATCCCTTATATAAGGCACTGATGTAAAAAACAGAAGAACATTTAGGACTCAGGGTTAGTACTAACTCCATAGAAAATATATAGTGATTCAGGCAAAATCCAAGTTGTTGCAGTCTCGTTACTTCTACATTCCTCAGAGATGTTTACTGGTTGTTTATAGATTTTCAGTGGGTAAGGATTCAGTTATGAAGTCTTTATTGTAGAAAATGCTACCAAATTATTTATTTAAGGGCAATGTTACATTTCAAAGTGTCAGACACACAGTCCTCTGTAGAAGTTATTTAAGTTATAGTTCATTAGAACTCATAAAGCCATGTCAGTATCAGCACATCTTACTATTCTGTTATATATTGTATGTAAATCAATGTGTAAGTGAAGCAAGCATTTAATCATTCATCTTTTTTCATTGGTTTACTCATTTTCTTGGCACATGTTGCTGAAATTGCACTTCATTCATGCATAACAAAAGTCCTTGATTGTCACTTAGCCGAAGAGAGTTAGATCTGCATTCTACACATAATTATCTTAAATGCATTCATGAATATTTTCACTATTGTTCATCTGTTCTGAAAAAATGTTATTTCATAAAAATAATGCTAGAAAGAGATTGAGTGATAGCAATAGAAAACATGTTAGTGACCTCATAGAATTGTCAGAATTTTAGTTAGATGGTTAAGAAAAGAGAAGAAATCTTTCTGCCTCCAATGAAAATTGGAAGATTTTTTTTTGGGTGGAGGGAGCAGTTAATTTAGCTTTCTTTTACATGCAAGGGAGATCAGTTCCTGTTGCTTTCCATTGTAATTCAAATTTGGAGATTTACTTACTAATCTCCTCACATACATGTTTCACTTTTCTAGTACCAAAACTTAAAAACTAAATATTTATGCCATTCATTTTTATTTCTCCAAAATGGATTTTCGGCTGATACCAGGACTGAAAAAATGCTATTTTATTGATTTGTTTGTAGATAAGGGATGAGATACAGGTAGTCCTCAACCTACAACCATAATGGGCCCTGGCCATGTTGTGATGTTTGTAACATTAGGGGGTGTGAAGAGTCACTAAGCTTTTTTCTGTTTGTGATGAAAGTTGGAAGATATTGTGATGACCCAGAGTATCTCAAAAATATAACAAAAACCAAAACATAAATAAAAGTCCTTTAATGCCTTCAACTTGGCTTCACTGTTTAATTGTTCACAGTGGAGGAATAAATTATTTTCAAAATAACATTTCAATGGCAAGAAACACAGTTCACATTCAAAGAGCTGATAATGAAGCAAAAACCAAAAACAAACTGCACTGAATTAAGTTCCGTGACAGACCAGGATAGATAATTGCCAGAAGACAACCAGGTACAGTTCGTTGGAAGAATGCCAACCAAGATAAACCTTCTTTAGAAATAAAACACTAATTTGTCTCCAGCATCTTTTAGCACGCAGGTCCATACTCTTATGCAAATCTCCCACCTGCAACCCATGAAGAGGATCATGGCCCTCTCCTCCCGAGTAGACCACATTTTACCCTGATCCTCTCCTCCCTGCGTGCCCTAGGATGGATAGGGGATGGGTGTGGGTCCTTCTCTGACTGTTCAGAGTCAGTCTCCACCAGGGACATGACAGATATTTCCTCTTTCATATTCCTTCTTTTTTCTTGCATTTTTTACTCATTCTTTGTATTCTCTTTCTTTTCTTTAAATTTAATTTACATTAGATCTTATTATTATAATAAAAATTCTTAATAAAATTATATATGTAATATATGTGTATGTATACACACACATGTATACATGTGAATATGCACATATGCACATACACATTGTTTTTATGAAGAATTTTTATTATGTAAGTTGACACCTCCCCTCTTTTCTACCTTAGATGAATTTGCCTCCAGGGATATGCAAATTAATTCTCGAGTGTTGAAAGGGCTGAAAAGTGATCTAGAACAGCTGAGTGTAATCTTTGAAAACTCATAGAGAACTGGTATGATTTCAGAACATTGGAGAAGAACAAGCATAGTTCCAATATTCGAAAAAGGGAAAAGTAGGGCCCCAGTCATCTTAAAACCCATATAAGACTTTGTATCAGAATTCCCACATTCTCTGAATTAGCAGCCAATAGAAATTTCAAGGATATGGCTTGGGTAGATTAATCAATTGACTGCAAAAATAAAGGACGTAAATTTATAACCAAAAACTAAGAATAAGGAAATTGAGCATTGTATATATCTGTGTCAGCTCCAGCTATGAAGAGCTGGCTATTTCTCTTAAGGATAAGGATATTTATTACTTTTGCACCTAGCCTTACTTTGTCACTGTGCCCAGCTTGAAATCAGGTTAATATTGCATTCCGTTGAATAAAGAAATGTGTAAATAATTTAAACTAAATATCTCAATTCTACATAATTCTATTTTATACTAAATGCAGTTTTTTAAAATGTAAATTATAATAGTGTAGGATAATACCAAATAAAATGAAAACGTCTTTTGAATTGCTATATCTGATAATATTTGTGATAGTCTTATTTGTAATAGAACTACCATAGAACTGACGTAAAAAGCATTTAAAACTGCCTTTTATATTGGTATGTTTCTTCTGTTAAGTAAGCTGAAGATAATCCTCTATGATTTTATAGTGTATTATTCTTGGGACAGTATTTCAAAACATGATTCTGTGAGAGAGAGAAAAAATAGGTCACTTGATATCAGATTGTGCCCATTGACCCTTTCCCTCCTACTCTCCCTTTTTAATACTGAGGATTATTGCAGGCACAGTATTTGCCATGTTGGTGTTAGATCATTGGAACTGTGTATCATAGCCATATGTGAAAATGATTAAAGTGCAGATTAACCTTACAGCAAAGGATCACAGCCTTTAGACTGTCATAATACGTTATCATACTCTAATTCAAACTGGTATACTATATTGTAAATTACATAATGAAATTTGCATGTTTCTGCCAATACCTACTGTATATAATGAATTACTGATAAAAACTAACAGATAATGACTTATGAAACCAAGTTGATTTACAAATTGTAAATTTTGATAGAGATTAGTTCATCTCCCAGCTAAATTAATGAAACAACTTCAATGTTTGTGCCATCCTAATTAGCTGAGTGGTACAGGCAGCAATGAGGTTGAAGGTGGTGACAGCAGCAGTAATAGGACCCACAAACCCATCAATGTAGACTTAACCCTTTGAGAAATAGAAGTAATTCTCGCTTCACAAATAGAAGTAATGAAGCAAGATAGAGGCATGAGAGGAAGAAACGAGGGAGATTCAGGAGCTGGAGATTATTAGGAGATGTCAGTAGAATTTTTCCATTAATGTAAAGTGACAAATTTTGAAATATTTTGGTTGGGGGGAAAAACTGTGAATAACGGAGTTGAGAACCAATCTAGTTGCTACCAACAGTGAGAGAAACAAAGCAGGTTTGCCTTCCTCTCCTTGGGAGTATCTTGGTTTGCAGTTTCCTCCTAGCAAAAAATTCAAAGCCTGCTTGTTTGGTAATAACAGCAAAAACTTAATGATTTTGAGGATGTTTGTAATATAGAAGACTAAGTGGTCAGATCAAAGTGCATCTTGGACACAGGAAGAACTGTGATGTCCCATTTATGGTATTTCTTATAATCAAAGGTAGTTTGATTAATTTCATATTATCTTTTTAGCATCAAAATAAGAGAGTCTGTTTCTTTCAAGGCATGTTATAATATATCCATAGATCATTATTATTCCATTATTATTTGGAGTAATTATTGAAAATGCAGAAAAGGAGTAAGATTTTATTTATCTAATTTATTCTCTATTGTACAGTGAAATTAATTCCCGACTTGATGCAGTGTCTGAGATTCTCTCCTCAGAATCAAGTGTTCTTGGTCAAATCATGTCTCTGTTGTATAAGGTTCCAGATGTTGAGAGAGGAATCTGTAGTATTTATCATAAAAAGGTAAGACTACAGATAATTTAAGAAACACATTCTTATTATATTTCAATGCAGGCAACTTTTCCTGAAATGTGTTTTATACATTGTAAGGCAGAAAATAATTAGAAATATCTAAGCTTTTAACAATGGCAATTTTAAACTTTTAAAACTGTGCATGTTTCTTATATTCCTGGTATGCTAGCTTTTTAAAATTCATTGACTATTTTAAGCTATGTATTGGTATTTATTTATTTATTTATTTGATTTATTTATTTGATTTGCCAATTGTTTACAAGATAATAAGTATAAGTGTATACATAGTTGTGAATACATGAAATGGGTACATATAAGAAAAATAAAAGAATAAGAGAAACAATAGGACAGGGACGGTAGGCACGATGGTGCGCTTATGCACGCCCCCTACAGACCTCTTAGGAAAGGGGTGAGGTCAATAGTAGACAGTCTAAGGTTAAAGTTTTTGGGGTTTGGGGAAGAGACTACAGAGTCGGGTAGAGTATTCCAGACATTGACCACTCTATTGCTGAAGTCGTATTTCCTGCAATCAAGTTTGGTGCGGTTAACTTTGAGTTTGTATCTATTGTGTGCTCTTGTGTTGTTATGGTTGAAGCTGAAGTATTCATTGACAGGTAGGACATTGCAATGTATGATTTTATATACCATGCTTAAGTCAGACCGAAGACGGCGTAATTCAAGGTTTTCTAGTTTTAGAATTTCAAGTCTGGTGGCATAAGGTATTCTACAACGAGTAGAAGAATGGAGAACTCTTCTTGTGAAATATTTCTGGACTTTCTCAATTGTGCTAATATCAGATACGTAATGAGGGTTCCAGACTGATGAACTGTATTCGAGTATTGGTCTAGCAAATGTTTTGTATGCTCTGGTTAGTAGTGTGATATTACCAGAGAAAAAACTACGTAGGATTAGGTTAACAACTCTTAATGCCTTTTTGGCTATGTAGTTGCAGTGGGCTCTAGCACTTAGATCATTAGAGGTGAGTATTCCAAGGTCCTTTACAGAGCTTGGGTCATCAACAAGATCTTGACTATTCAGCTTGTATTTTATTTTCTGATTTTTTTTTGCCAATATGTAAGACAGAGCATTTATTTGTTGAGATTTGAAGTTGCCATTTGTTTGACCATTCAGATACATAGTCAAGATCTTTTTGTAGGGTAGCAGTATTGTCTGTGGTATTGAACAGCTTTACATCATGAGCTTTAACATAATTTAAAATTTTGTTTAAATTACTTCAGTTTTAAACATCTAATAACTAAGTCAATTCTCTTTCTACCATAACCATTGATATCAGGACACATATTTCAGTGTATGTCCAAAATTACCGTATTTGCCGGCGTATAAGACGACTTTTTTGCCCTGAAAAACATGCCTCCAAGTGGGGGGGTCATCTTATACGCCGGGAGGACTCCGACTCCCACTTCGAGCTTGAGTTGCAGCCGGGAGGGAGGCTGGGGGGGGGGAGCGGTGTGTGTGTGTGTGTGTGTGGCGGGTGTCACTCGCCACGCGCTGCGCAACCTTTCCCCCTCTTCCTTCCTTAGCGGTGTGGGGAGGAGAGGATTCGAAGATCCTCACGTGCGGCGTACTTTTCTTTTTCTTTTTTTCTTTTTGCACGCAGGTTTTGCATGCGGGCGGCTGTAGGTTAAGGATGGGGGAGCCCCCGGGTGGGTTATCAGGTTTTACAGTGCTTCCAACATGTGCGAACGGTGGGAGAGCGGAGAAGAGAGCGAGCGAGCGCCCCGCTGTGTGAAATCCTGCCGTCAAAGCAACACTGGGGGAGGCAGGGTATAAATTTACCAGGTTAATGTAGCAATGGTGATTAATGCCCAGAACATTGTTTGCGGGTATTGGGGTGTGTGTGTGTGTGTGGTGGTGGTGAGGAGAGGTTGTCCTTTGAATGCGGAAAAGTAGGTGTGACCTTGTGTAGGAAAATAAAGAGATCCTTTTTAGCGTGTTTGGCTTCTTTGCCTCCCCTCGTTCGTTTTGACGTGGAGATAATGGCCTTCGGGCGGGAGGGGAAGAAAACGGTAGCTGGATCATTTCAAATTTCACTTACTCTCCTGCCTCACTTCAATATGTCTGAGCGACTCCAGATACTGGAAGACTTTTTGAATGAAAGTGTTACCTCCATTATTTTTTTAAAGAGGGCCACTTGGGGAAAAAAAAAGATTCTAAGGAATTCCTTGTTTCTTGATTAAAGAGAAGGCATTGAATATACTGTTCCTTGGCAGCCTTTTCAGTGTCCGGGTTTTTGGTGTGTGTGTGTGAGAGAGACAGAGAGAGAGAGATCAGCTGTATTGAGAAGAGAACGTTTCCTGTGTTCTCATTTTATTTACAACATATTTTACGCTTAATGGTAAGCAATGAAAAATATTTTTAAAACTCATTTCTAAACTCCATAGCTATTTGCATATTCTTGGTTCAAAATTGGATTAGCTCATTTCAAAATTGTCCAAAGCAGAAAAGTGCGTCCAAAAAAAAGAAAAAAAGTGCAAAAGTGGAAGGTGTGTGGAAGAGGGGGTAGTCTTATACGGCGAGTATATAACAAACTCTATATTTTGAGTGGAAATGTTGGGGGGTCGTCTTATACGCCCAGTCGTCTTATACGCCGGCAAATACGGTATATATTATCAGAGTATTCGAACTTATAAAACAGATTTCTGTGCCATCTTAAAGAACTTCATTTGTTAAATTTGGAAGTTTTGCAAGACTATTGTAATTTCAGAACGGATCATTTTAAATGATATTTGCTTATGTTTTCAGTGTTCTGTTCAAGAATTCTACTTGGTAGTAAGCACACTCTCTAACTTGGAAACAGCAGTCAAAGCACTCGTTCCAGCTATACAAGTCCAAGTGCGGGCATCCTTGCTGCATAAAAGCCTCTTGGAAATTCCTGAATTGCTTAGTTCAACAAAAAAATATTTAAGTAAACTTAATGAAGAAGCAGCAAAGTAAGTAAATTAAGCATATAATTTGTAACTTGGTGGGTACTGTATAGGTATGATGCAGTGACTTCCTTTTAGAGTTAAACAAATATCCATGGTATTGAATTAAAAGTTAATTTGAATTTTCTTTTAGAATTGGAAACAAAACTGAACTATTCAAGGATCTTGATGATTTTCCTTTAATAAGGAAGAGAAGGGATGAGATTCAGACAGTACTCTGTCAAATCCAGAATCATATTCAGGATGTACGAAGAATGCTAAATTCCTCCTCTGTGGACTATGTGTCAGTATCAGGGCAAGAGGTAATATATATCTATATTGACTTTGTTATGTTCTGTGTTTGTCTATGCAGCGTTAAATGAATTTTATCAATCATGTAGTTCTGATCATATTTTTACAGCAACAGTTTTGTTGTCCTTTACTGAGTAGATTAGAGCTAAACAGTTTACCGCCCTTACGTAATTTGGAATGCAAATTCCACAATCCCTTATCATTGACCTTATGGCTTTTGCTAAAAAGATTAGGAGTTGGCATGAGTTGTTTTAAGGCTAGTAACATTTAAAGAAAAATGTATTTAGTATGTAAATTTACTAACAATGTACAAAAAGTTATATTATAAAAATAAAATTTTGAGTAAACTTTATTAAAAGCGTCAACTGTCATAACATAAGTTAGGGAATGTCAATATCTGTTTGTAAGCATACCTTTGCCAATAATTGAATGTTAATTACAGTAATTATAAGAACTAAACACTGTATAAAAGTGCATTAGCTAATTTATGGTACAGGGACACAAAAGAGAACAATTTAATAGGACATGTCATAAGACAATGTTTTATCCAGAACTCTTTTTAACTCAGGGTAATTAAAATTATGATAATAGAGAAATGTTTTGAGGTTCATTTCAGCTATCATATTAACATATGATAAGGAAATAATATATTTGGCAAAGAGACAGACTATTTAGAGCTGAAATCTTTGCAGAATACTATACGAAGTAATATATTTCCAATTTTCTAAGATCTCAGTGTTTTGTAGCACATTGACATATTTGAGAATCTAGAATATATTCACTGATCTCTTTACTGAATTTTTGATTCAATTTAAAACACTTCATGAACACAGTTTCTCTATAAGCAAGAAAACCTAGTTTGAATTTCACAGCACAAGATTTAAAACATTGTTTGAATGTTTGGATCCTGGATTTATATGTTGTTATTTAAACATACTAAATGAGTATAGAAATTGCAATTGCTCTTAAACAATGTCTGTTGGCTGAGAATCTGGGAAATATAGACTCAGCACAATTTAGAATATTCCAAGCTGGGAAAGGATGAGTTTATTTTACATGCAATTGGTATAAGAAGCACATCTTGCCTGTGACGCTTTCCCAGCTAATTTGTGTTGGGCCTATAACTCCCAAGTTCACAATCAATATGTATAGTTTAAAAGCAGTTGCATTCACACATGTGCAATTGCTAATCTATGACTGGTCAAAGACAAATAAATTTTTTTTCATATCTTAATTACTGTTCTCAAGGAGATGGAAATTGATGAGACCAAGTTCACATCAATTCATTATCTTAATATTATAATTTTATGTTTAAAAAAGGACTTTTAATTGTGAGCATTTATGAGCATGAAAATAGTGGATCAATTTTATGATCCCAATTTTTCAGTATCTGTACAAATGTACCGATTATGAGGAACAAACAAGCAAATCAAAATCTTAATGCAAGTCTACAAGTATGACATAGGAGGCTTTATTGAAATTTGTTATGGGTTATATCTCATATTTTACTCCAAAAATGGTCTCCTTGATTTATGTTTAGATCAGTTCTGTTCAATTATTGTGAACTACATTATGTCCTTTGACAATAATTAATTATGAAAAAATAACACTTTGTTAGCAATATCAATATCAATATAGATATCAAAATATAGATAACAGTAGTTTATAGATTACAGTGTAGTATGATGACTGTGAGAGCTATGGTTGCTTCATAATTACTATGAGCCTATTTACCAACAATCACGTAAGCAAGTATGTACACAATAACTTTCTCAATGCTTCATCCAGATTTTAACTTTAAGGTTCTGTTTTTCTTTCCCTGAGCAGCAAAGCAATTATTCTATTCATCTTTGAAAATAGGATACAAGTATAGGTTGGTAAACAATGATAGCACTAATTGTCAATTGCTGTTTATATTATTGTCATACAAAATTGGCTTTTTATAAAATATAGTCTGGATGAATCTGATGAAGCAAAAGCAGTATGTAATAGTCAAGTTCTAAGAGTTATGTAGTCATATATCAATAAATTTTATCCTGTGGATGGAAGGCCAACTCAATATGATTTTAGTAGATGAGCTGAACAACTAACAGAATAAATCAGTGATAATATGTGATTGCAGAAAAGACAAAAACAATCATATGCTGCCATAAAACATGTCATCTGAAATAATGGAAAAGTAATAATTCCATTCCTTTGTGTATTATATAACTATCTTACTGCGTCCACTTTTGGATAATCCATGTTAAGAAAGATTCCTATGGAAAAGAGAATAACATTATTGAGGGAGCTGGATGGATTTAGCCATAAAATTGATGATTTTGTAGGACATGGTGGCATTCTAAAATACTTTAAAACTTCTTAAACTTAATTTAAGTTTAAGGAGTTATCATACTGAAGAAGACCATTCGACGGTTCAGGTCATAAAGCAGTTTTGACATGAATAAAATTTCCAAACATTGTAAATGGTTTCACAGTGGAATTGTGGAAGTGAATTGTAAATATGGAAGTGAAATTGTGGAAGTGAATTTGTAAATATGACAAGAATAATCTGCTTTCATCTGGATTCCTGTATTGCATAGAAAATGGAACCTGAGAGCTTTAAAGATTCCTTCCATTCCTTGAATTTGATACATAGGCTTTTGTTATAACTGTTATATATGTTTTAAGGGATTATTTATAACTATAATGGCAGTGTTATTTATTTTGATTAAACAAAAGCTTCATTTTCAAACCAATGCTTTCTGCCAAATTCTAAATTCGTGTCTCAATCTTGGGAGATAACATGAAGTAGGGAAGACTATCCAGAAGTATTCTGTGGATTGGTGCTTTAGTTTATCTACCTGAAGTTGCCTCCGTTTCTTCTTTGTGTTTTTGAGAGTCTGAAAATCTGTATACATTGCTCTATAAACTGGTATAAGTTTGGTGATTATACATTCTTTATCTGAAATAAATTTATAGCCTTGATAGTAATAGAAAATTGAATTGGTATTCCTGTTTATCTTATAGTTGCTTGTCTATTTCTTCTATTGCTGTATTCTTTTCCTTATACATACTAACATTTTTGGGACAGAATTATGTAATCAAATGCATCATTGATAATTATGAAGAACTTCTACCTTATTCAAGTACTACAGAATTTTGTTCTAAAATAGTATTAATCATTTGATACTTTATTGTTTGGTGTTTCAGTTTCAGATTGAAGTTAAAAATTCAGTTGTATCTTCTGTACCATTAGATTGGATTAAAGTTAGCAGGTATGTAGTTTAATATAAATCCTAATTACTATTTATTATATTAATTACTTCAATGGTGCTTATACATTGATGCTTCTGATGGCAGAACTTATATTATAAAGTGCTGAAGTAAATATATGAATCAGTATATTTTTTTTATAATATCACTTTTGGTGTGCCTCTAGCAACAAAATAGACCATACAGTTTTCTTGGCAACATTTTTGGAAGTGGTTTGTCATTGTCTTCTTCCTAGGGCTGAGAGAATGATTGATGTAAAGTTATTTACAGTTGGCTTGATATAAGACTAAAACTTATGGTCTCCTGGTTTCTAGTTTGGTTCCTTTAACCACTATGCCAAATTGGCTGGCATCGGTATTACAGATCATAAGGATTTGGGGCAATATTAGAAGACCTATGCAAACTTATTGGAAGATGTAATTGTTTCATTTAGTCTCAGACACCACCACCCCTCCAAATTGTGCCAGGTGATAGGGCATTTGGAAGTAGAAAGGATGTTATGGGAAGTGAAGGCCAAACCGGTCCCAGTGATAGTAGGAGCACATGGGGCTGTGACTCCAAAGTTGGGAGTGTGACTCCAACAGATCCCAGGAATGACATCAGAGCTCTTTTTCCAGAAGAGTGCAATGCTAGGAGAATCTCTCAAACCTATGGTAGAGGACCTGAGATTTAAGAAGACACAAACCACCTATAGGAGTGAGAAGGGTGTGTGTATTTATGTGTACACACACACACACACACACACCCTATAATGAACTCTCAGAAATATTAATCCTAAAAAGATACTGACCTGATTTTATGTACTGCGGAAAAATTTATTGATTAATCACATTTATTTTTTGTTTGATTCAAGCACAAAGGTTGTGAGCCGTTTCCACACTCCTTTTATTGTAGAAAACTACAAAATGCTAAATCAGCTACGTGAGCAACTGGTCCTTGACTGTAATGCGGAATGGCTGTGTTTTTTAGAGTAAGTTTACAAAGTCTATTTTTGTTATTGTAATAAGTAGGTTTCAGAATAGAAATAGATTATGATAACTGACATATCAAAAGTTAATGGATTTTGTATAATTTAGCTGAAATCATTCCTTGCATTTTTAATGGGAATATATTTAAAATTCACAAACATGGTATTTTAGGGAAGTTTTGATATTTTTATGGACTTAGATTATTGATAAGCAACATGGTACTCATTGGCACTTACTGGATGTGCACCGAAATATACTTTTTGCTGCTTATTAAGATCCATAATTAGTCTCAGGTTTTTTAAAAAATATTTTCTTAAATTCACAACATACATAGGAAGGTGGCTTTCTGCAAAACAAAGAACCAATATCTTACAACATATTTATTTGCAGCATAGTTTTGGCCCCAGGGGCCACTAGATAGCAGAGAGCATTAATATGAACTAAGTTCATATTTTGTGGAATTTTCTGTCTGGTCACGACAGCCGTTTTGTAATAGGCAAATCTTTTGGCATAGCCAAAAGTGAGTATGTCTACAATATGCTTTCATAATTTCAAATATGACCTCAGTTCAAAATGTTTGTCCACAAATAGCTTAATTTATTATTTTGATGGCTCTGAGAACAACTCATAGAGAACATCAGAAATATAGATGATTTGTAATTTGAATAAGTAGCAGGACATAAACAGTTGTACCAAAGTAGTCTATGTTCTGTCCTAGACTTCCCCAAAAAGCAATAAGCCAACCCTGAGTCCCATCAAAACCTCTTTTATTAAATTTAGTGCATTCACATTCAGCCAACAGCTTGGCAAACATTCTTGCAAAAGTATACTAATTATCTCAGACTTTATCTATCCTGGAAAGCTGCACGGTAAATACTTCCACATGCAGTGCTGACAGGGAAGGGCTGGGTTACACCAACAAATCTTCACGATGCTAGAATGAACGAACAAGCGTGTTGTTTCCTGCAAAAGCCTCCCCTTTTGCTCCTCTTTCAATCCTGATGGGAGGGGCCATTCATCGTCCACCTGTGGCCTTACTGCCACGTCAAGCCTGAGTTCTTAATTGTTCCTTCCTTTTGGCAGATCTGCGCATGCGCAGGCTGGGAACCGGTTCCAGAAGCTCCCCTGTCTCACTGCTGTCAGAGCCCAAAGGCAGCTGATGACTGCCAGCCTGCCCTGGCCCCATCTCTGCTTCTGACGTAGAGCCCTCGTCCGAGTCTTCCTCAACCTCCAGGACTGGCCCAGATTCCTCCCCAACCTCCTCGCTATCTGACTCTGCTGCCGGCTGCTGGCGGGCCACAACAGTCTAGATCAGGGGTGTTAAACTCGCGGCCTGCAGGCCGGATATGTCATGTGCTGGTCACATCCACCCCCGTTTTGGCAAAGGGAGAAAAAGTTGTGATACGTCACATGACGACAATGTGTTGTCGTGAGTTTGACACCCCTGGTCTAGATGATATCATAAGCTAAACACAAGGGTTGCCAAATTTGTGCTGCAAAATCTTGCTGTAAGTCCAGACGAAACTGTTACTCTGAAATACTTTGGTGCCATGTTATAGTTGTCTGGATTTTTTCAGTCTAGAGCAGCTACCCTTAATTAATTGCACAATAAAACCCTTTGGAGCTTTTTAAAAAAATATGGTCAAATATAACAAACAAAATACAATATAGAAATACAACAGTATTAATACAATCATAAAAGTATGTAAATATGTTTATATATGCATTACTATAAAATTATTGACAACTGAAAATTCTACACAGCTAGTTCTTGCTTAATGACAATGCCCAAAGTTATGGCCATTGCAGTTTCCTCAGGTTCACGTGATTGCAATCCTGGTGCTTGGCAATCTGTTCACACTTGTGACTGGTTGCTAAGTGCCTGTGATCATCTGATCATATTTGCAATCTTCCAGCCTGCTTATCTAGAAAGTCATAAGTAAGCAGGCAGGGAAACTCATAAGCTGCTACCGGTTGCTGACATGACTTCCTTTGATTTCTGGGCTTGGCCAAAAAAGGCCCAGTCCCAAATCCATACAAGAACTTGGTACACAAGAGCATTTGCAACATGATATTTGCAAACAGCCTTCGGCAATGAGAAGAAGTTCTCTTGTCTTTGGGGGCTGGCTGCAAATACCCCATGCTGTAATCACTCTGTCCCAAAATCCTGCCTGTATTTCAGTGAAGACCTTTTTCAGTCAGCCTCTTTGAGGGCAACTAGGCTGCCCACCAGAGGGATTCAGCCTGGCATCCCGCAGAGTCCCTCTGGCAGGCAGCTTTTTGAGAGCAAAAGGGCTGCCCACCAGAGGGATTCATCCCAGTATGGAGACGAGTACTTCTGGCAGGCAGCTCTTTCTCCCAACCCCCTTAGCAACCCTGGTGATAATGACCGCAACCCTGGCTTCATGGCTGCAGCCAGGATTGTGAACTTTGAGCAAAGATATCGTGTTGTCTCACTTAATGACCTCTTCACTTAGTGACTGAAGATTAAGTCTCAATTGTTGTCATAAATAATGAACTACCTGTATTGACAGTTTTACTATTATTTTCATAGTGCTCCTTCATGATGGATCATTCATCTCTTCCTCCTGATCACATTGCTGTACCCAGGCAGCTTTTGACAGACAAAAAAATCCCTTTAAAAAGTGCTACGAATGTTCCCCTTTCAGAATTTCCCAACCTCTTTGTATCATCTCTCATCATAAACAATCAAACCTATCAAAATTTCTTTTTTTACTGTGTATGTGTAACTAGATTTACGCTTAGACTATGTATTGAAAACAGACAACGCATGTAAGAAACTTTGTACGGAGGTAGCATTGCTGACAGGTTAGACTAGAGTTTATTTGTATTAATATTTCGTTCATTCTTTTTCCTTCCCAATGTACTTCTCTCTCTATATAGTCATTTTAATGAGCATTATCATGCACTCTCTCAAGCTGTGGGTCATCTAGCAACGGTGGACTGTGTTTTTTCCTTGGCTGAGGCTGCCAAACAAGGAGATTATTGCAGGTAATTGTTTGTTTGTTTTTTAAAAAAAAAACAACAGTACTGGAATATTTAAGGAAACATTGTAAATTTACAAAAGTACTGATCAATTCTTGCATGCCATGTTTGAAAACTAGAGATTCTCCTCCATTCAGTCTATAAACATATTTGTTTTTCAGACCTGTCATAATAGATGAAAAATCAGAAATAATGATAAAAAATGGGAAACATCCTGTGATAGATGTGTTACTAGGAGAGCAACAGCAATATGTTCCGAATGATACATTCTTATCAGTAAGTAAACTTTTAAGAACTGAAATAATTAGAAGATCGTAACATTGATTTTAGTTTTTAGAAAACTGTTAAATAATACAGTGACTGCATCCAAACAGCAATTCCCATGAAAGGTTCAGAATATACCATTAAGTTGCCTAGGTTTTTAGATAATTACACTTAAGTTGTAGACTTAGAAAATGAATAAATAATATTCATATGAATAAATAATATTCAAATAAATAAAATTACATAGTCTCACATTTGTTTCTGTGTTGGCTCTTTATTTACTGCATGGTCTAAAATATATTCTAAACTTTGGGTCTTTCTAGAGAAGATTTTGAGGCATCTGAAATGGCAGAGATGAGGAAAACTCATTTAGACTAGTCATGGATTTTTATCACACAGAATATTGTAATATGTTTTTAATGCAAACATTTTGAATAACCACAAGGGTATTACAGATAAAGTGCTTCAAAACATCTTTTCATAGTCGTCCATCCATGTTTAGATTTGAATGATTAGATTTGAATGATTAGATTAGAAAATATGTATGTACATAAATTCAGGCAAAGAACAGCAATGCACACAAACAAATCCTTCGATGCTGCTGCTTCCTTTGTGGAGAAGTGCTTTTTTACATACAACACTCCAGATTTTTAATATAAAAATATTTTTTATTCCAGGATGACATTATTTTTTAAAACAGTTCTAACAATGCCATATAACTATTACATTTGCAATTACATTGTCATTTGAATTTTAAATATTTTTGCGAAGCAGTGGTAATAAGTGAATGAAATCTTACTAAGGCTCCCTAAATTATAATTTTTTGGTGTAGTAATTTGGAATCTGTTTAGGTGGTCTGTATACGATCACCAAATGTCTGAAACTTTTGCATGAGGTTTGGTTTAAAATAATCTAATTAAAAATGTTTCATTTTCCAGGAAAATAGTCAAAGAGTAATGGTAATCACTGGACCTAACATGGGGGGAAAGAGCTCTTACATAAAACAAGTTGCATTAATTACTATCATGGCACAGATTGGTTCTTATGTACCAGCTGAAGAAGTAAGAATTGGTATTGTGGATGGTATATTCACCAGGTAAGATAACAAACACATTTTTGGGGTAGCTCTTATTTTTCAGTTTTAATGTTACATTTTTCCTTTTTTAGGATTATCACAAAACATTCACGTTAACATTTTAAGACTACAGCAGTAATCCCTTATCCTGTACCTCCACATGCCTATTGTGGGTACTTTTGTGAACAGGCTATCTAATTCTAATGTAGAAGCTAATTAAAGAATGCTGCTGCTTTATGAAGAAAATCAGCCCCAGTAGCACATCATGTAATGGAATTAAAAAAATTATAGCAGTAGCATAGCTCTATTATAACTTTAATAAAGAGAAAATGAATTTCAAAAAAGGTTTGATATATTCAGATGCAGGTAGTTCTCAGTTAACAACCACTTATTCTGTGACCATTCAAAGCTACAATGGCATTGAATGAATGGTCCTTACAACTGATCTTCAAAGTTGTGGCTGTCTCAGCACCCACTCACCTCCGTGGTCATGTGATTGCAATCTTGGCACTTGGCAACCAGAAGCTAACAGAATAACCAGCTCATTCTAATGATGCAATGTTCTCTGGTCATGGGATTGCCATTTGTGACCTTTCCTACCAGGTTCTTCCACAAGCAGAGTCAGTAGGGAAGCTGGCAGGGAAGATTGTAAGACACTCCTATAAGTCATTTGAACTCCCATGCCTTTTTTTCCCCTGAAGAACTTGGCTATGGAATACAAAAACCTGTAAATCTCATACTCCATAGTCCCGTGTGCCCACAGGTTCCACCCATGGTGGCCCATCTATGCATCCTTCTTATCCTGTAGCAGCCATCCCGACCTCTTCTGTGCTGCAGAAGTCCACCTGCAAACTGGCCGGATTATAAGCCTTTAGGACTTGCAACTTCCTGCCAGCTTCCTTATTGACTTTGCTTATTGCAAGCCAGCAAGTAGTTGTGAGGAGGTCTTTGCTTAACAACCCATGATCCTTGCTTATTGATGACAAGGATTGCTGGGATTGCTGTCGTTAAGCAATGTGGTCATGTGATGTAACACTTTACAACTGCATTGCTTGGTGATAGAAATTCCAGTCCTAATTACCATCATTAAATGAGGGTTACCTGTACAACATATATACCTGTGTATTTATAATTTTAATTGGATTATTGACATACATCTTTTGAGTCTTAACATGCTTAAATGTATTTTGTTAGCTTTGAAATTCTTTAATTTCTAATTTCCAATTAGGTAAATTTGATATGTGTTAATGAGTCTCCTAATTAATATTTGAGAATAACTCCTTATATTGGATCAGTTCACTCAGTTTATAACATGCAGTGAAAAAGATGAAAAATTATTGGTAATAATTTTAGTGGGAGATTATATTAATGTTGACCAGCTCCATTGATCAATTACAATTGTGTCATGGTGCATGTCTCCTTTGAAATCTGGAAGGACCAACCTAGATAGACAGATGCATGCTTTAATTTATAAGTTAGTTATGCAATGTCTTAGTTATTGCATTATGATTTAATTGTATCTTTCATTTTGTTTATAGTGTTTTATTATTCCTCCCCTGCGGACTAGTTGTTTTTTAAGATGTGTGACCATAAAAATTTTCTAATTAAACAAAGAAATAGACAACAGTTAAAAATAGATATGGAAGACAAATCCTAGTAGAGGAAGTACACATTTTCGGGGTGGGTATAGTAAAGGAGTTTTAGAATAGTTGTATCTGTCTTGGGTTTTCTTCAAATTAATTATTTAAATTAAGTAAACAGAATTATTAAATAATGCCATTCAATTGTCTTTACCAGGGCTTAGAAGCTGAAATCTTCTTATAATATTGGGATAATATTTTGATCTGCCAAATAAGCAGTACAGTCATAACTCAAGCTTTATCTTTTATGTTTTTAGAAAGATGAATTATTTTTAAAGTGCTGAATACATTTTGAAAACTTTTAAAATAATAAAGCGATATAAAATTTGCTGAAATGGTAAATTTCACTTTTGCTTTATATAGTGGCATAGTAATTAGTTTTGAATAATATATCTATATCATGAGCATGTTGCTGTTCTGACCTAGGCTTCCCCAACAGCACAAAGCTGAGTCCTCATCCCAATAAGCCCCTTTCATTTAATTTACAATGAATTTCCTCTCCAACAAAGTCCCAGCCAACAGTCGTTTAAGATAGTTCCCAATTACAAACCTTTATCAGGCTTGGAGAGTGGCCAGGCCAATATCTTTCAGACTTCGCAGTACTTTGTCCATTTGTTTTTGGATGCAGAATGGGTGCCTCAGACAATGTATTTAGAGGTCGCAGTACATTTATGGAAGAATTAACAGATACAGCAGCAATTATTCAAAAAGCAACTTCACATTCACTAGTAATTTTGGATGAACTGGGAAGAGGAACTAGTACACATGATGGTATTGCAATTGCTTATGCTACTCTAGAACATTTCATTAAGAATGTAAGTACTGTATATTATTCAATTAAGTATAATTCTTAGCAAATTATCATCTTAAATAAAATGTGGGAGAAATAGATATTATATGTAGCAAGCCTTCAGCTTCTTATTGAAAGGAGGTATTTGAATTTTAAGTCAATTTAAGGTCAACATTTTTGATAGTTTGCATATGAGATCAGTACAAAACGTATTAATTAAAACAATAATACATATTTACAAATCAATCAAATCAGCATTTACCAACTTTGCCCATTATAGCCTTACTTTTACAATGTTCTCGAAAGTCTCTTAAGATTCTTACTTCGGCTGCTTTTTCACTAATAGTTGGAAAGTTTTTCAGATGTTGAGATGCTCAGAACAGGACCTTGTATATATGGGGTGCAATTTAATAATGATATCATTGAAATTATATTTACAGACATAAAATTGTAACTGTAGCTCACACTAACAATACCAGCTTAAAAAAATGTACCCACCTTGTATGAAAGTGAATGGCTGCCACAAATGGGTCATGCTTCTTTAGGACTTAGTTAATGTCAGAACTTCTGTTAGAAGTGTAGGGTACTTCTCATCACTGAAATTAGATGAAGGAATTTCTCCTCTGTATAACCCAGGATTAACCTGCAAAATGAAGGATCAATTTGCACCCCATTTTACAATGTATAAAAATTCTAAATATTGGTGTATATTAAGGAGCACTTTATGCTGTAGGACAAAACTAAAACATCAGATTTAGTTAAAGGAAAATGATAGTTAGGTTATCAGCTTGCTGATAGTTGATGACATACTTTCAAATCTTAAAAATATATTTTCCTCTCTAGGTTGGTTCATTGACACTATTTGTTACCCATTATCCTCCGCTGTGTGAGTTGGAAAGAACCTATCCGACCCATGTTGAGAACTACCATATGTCTTTTCTAGTGAATGAAGATTATAGTAAACCAGAAGATGGTATGATATCAAATTGATCAGACTGATATCTTCTTTTCAGTAATTCCTTAAAGCTGTTAGATTGTCTATCTCTTAATTTTAGTCATTTTAATAGGAGTTAGAACAATTTGATTAAAGCTAAACATATTCAGCAACAGAATTAGAATTACTGAAAACTAGGTGTCTATGATGGGCAACAAGGATCGCTGAAACTGACCATTCAGAAAAATCCCAGAATTGTGTTTCTTCTCGGAGTGATATTTTGGCTTAGTCTTTATTCCAGGAATGAATCCTCTGTTCTTAAGGGATCTGTAGTATTCCAGATATGTTTTGTCCTAACCCCCATAAAAACCCATAGAACACTTCCAGTTTAGAGGATTAAGTTCCATAAAACTGCCAGACCATGTCTAGAATAATTGAATCAACATGGTCCAGAGAAAAATTGAATGTTCTGGAATTCTATTTGCAGAACTTTGGGATTTTCATGTATCTGATTAAAAATAGCTTCAAAAACTTACTAAAAGAATTCATTGTAAAGTAATTAATATATTTTTTCTTTTTAGATTTTGAAGAACAAAATCATCTTGACTGTGTTACTTTCCTTTATCAAATAACTAAAGAAGTTGCTGCAAGAAGCTATGGCTTAAATGTTGCTAAACTGGCAGATGTGCCAAAAGAAATTCTTAAAAAGGCAGCATTTAAATCAAAGGAACTAGAAAGATCAGCTAATGTGAGAAGGTTAGAAAAAAGATTGGCTCACTTTGTTTTGTAATATGGCATTTATAAATGTCAAGGAGAAATGCAACTCAGAAGTGTGCATGTTTGTTTATGCATTTGTCTGTGAGAGGAGTTGTACATATTTGCTAAATAAAGGGAGCTAATTTTAGAAATAGATATTGTAATAGTATGTGTTCTATTAATATAATTTCGTTTGCTTTGGGCTTTTGTGAAATGTGATTTTTGGCTTGCATGTATGTGTTTATGTGGATACATGCAAATCCACATATGTACAGAACTGTACTGTATATCTTGTATAATTTATTAAGAATCTCTAGGATTGGTTTCAACTGAGGTTGGCAGCTCCCCATGTTAAAAGCTGTGTATCATGCAGATTTTTGCCTGTGTTTTCAATCTACTTCTTTGGAAAAATTCCCGAGAGGTTGCTTTCTTCTCAGATAAACATAGTATGCAATGATATGATGTATGGAAAGTTTTTTCTATTTAATTTTATTAACAGTATTTAATTTTATTAACAGTATACTATTCTATTTAAACACATTACCTAGGCACTAGAACTGGGTAATTAACAGATTGTGCTTATGTTATATAAACATAATAGGATAAAAATAGTCTTTGCATTATCATAATACTGATTTTTTTGGGAGAAATCAACTTTTCCGCTAGAATAGTTTTCCAATGTATTTGCCATCACTTGGAAATAATTTATAATGTTGTGCTTTAATTCATATAACTCTTTTAATCTGCCATATTTTCCCAATCTTCAAGATGTATTTTATACATTAATGTAGAAAAGAGTAATAGTCTAGAAGTACATAGAGCTAAGATATTTCTATATTAGAGATAGATCTTTAATAGAAAAGAATGAATAGAAAATGTGCAGCTAAGTAGAAAAGGGATTGATGACAATATCCCCTTATTTTCAGATCACATGTCAATTGTTCCAAGGTAAACAATAGGTTTAGGATATGATCACCCTTGACTTGAGGCTGAAATAACCTGAAATAGTTCCATGGTGTTCACAAAGTTCTGAGCAACTCTAGACCCAACCTAAGAAGAGGAAATTAAAGTCCTCCAGCATTAAAAACTTTAAAAATTCCAGTCACGATTCCCTGGTACAACCCACATTCTCATCCCTTAGTAATGTAATATTAAAGAACTAAAAATGCCAGTACTTTATTTTCTGTAATCACAGTATAGTTGTAACCTTTTACTTTTTAAAAAATTAATCCTAGTATTTTCTGTGAGAGAATTTGAGAGAGAGAAAAATGCACATAAAAAGCAAACATTTGAATGCTAAACTGCCTTTGCAAGCAGTTGTGATCTAATTTATGTTGATGTGCATAATCAATTGTCATGTGCAAAAGAAACATTAGAATATATAGTTACCTTTGATAATAATACTTTTCTCCAGAAAAAAATCATAATACCTTTTAATTGATTATTCCAGTAGAACTTTTTAAAATATTTTATTGCTTTTTAAAATAGTAACAGAAAAAGAAAAAACAAGAAACAAAACACAAAAATACATAATAAAAATACACATGCTTAAAAATAAGTGGAAAAAAATACAACAAAAATATAAAGTATAATAAGTCATTATGGTAAAGAGTTACAATTCTATATATAATTATCTAATACAAACCTTTTGCAAGTAGGTATGTGTGAAATAAAAATGAATATTCATTTCTAATATACTTACGTAACTATCATGCTTTTTAAGCTACTGTATTTTGTATAAATGAGTCTCATATTTCATTATAATTATCCATACAAAGTTTATGTCTATAAGCAATCCGCTTAGAAGTAGCAAGTGAAATCAAGTCTTCAATACATTTAATAAATGTGGCTATACATACATCTTTTAGTGTTACAAGTGCAAGGGCATTCAGAATCCATTTTTGTTGTCCAGTTGTCAAATTCCATGGCCAAGATATATAATTCAAAAGAGTATTATCCTTTGAAAAAGTCAACTTTTGTTACACAGTCACATTTATATAATTCATTATTTTCTCCTCAAACCTAATAAGTATAAGACATTGTAAGAAATGCTTTGTAAGGAACCATGTCCTTACATCTCCATCAAAAAGCTGTCCTAGGTAATCCTCTTCTATGCAAGTGTGATAAGAATCCAATAATTTTTAAAAATTAAGTTTTGTTGTCTAAGTCTTAGTTTAAGGTCTATTGACAGTCTTGCTATAGAAGTTAGGACATTCCTGTTGGTCTAGGTCAGTGCTGGCGAACCTATGGCACGCGTGCCACAGGTGACACACAGAGCCCTCTCTGTGGGCACGCGCATCGTCGCCCCAGCTCAGCTCCACCGTGCATGCATGTGTGCCTTAGGTCTCTGACGCGCATGCGCAGGGGGCAGACGTGGGTCACGCATGCGAAGGGGTGCGCCTTGCATTTTGGGTGTGTGCGCGCACTTTGGGCACTCAGACCAGCATCACTGGTGTAGATGAACAAAAGGTGAACAACAGATGTACAAAAAAATAATATGCAACAGCAGCAATAAAACAATATAATAAACAATATAAGACATGATGTAATACAGCGTAACTATGATATGGAGAAAACCCTCAATGACTGTGATGGCATGTGAGTCCATCACATTAGCAGTCCTGACGGTTCCCATTGCTATTATTAACTGAAGCCCGTTGATTGTTAAGTGAAGACGCATCCTGATTCAAGCCATTTCTGGTTTGGTCCCTCCCAGATCTGAGCCTCAGTAAGGTAAAGGATTGCCTCCTTTACCCCTTCCTGAACTTCTCCTGTCTCCCCCAATCTCTTCTCTTTTGGCTGGCTGCCTACCTGCTGCCATTCCTACCATGCTCTGCATTACTATTATACTAGCCACAGCTTCTTTCACGAGCTACCAAGACCTCAGTTTACACTACGGCTGGTAGGTCCGTTTTTTGCAACTAGGGCCACCTTTCACAAGACAAGGCTCTGGGTGGGATGTGAACACAGGACCTGGCAGCACCATTGTGAAAGAGCATAGCACAAAAGAAGGGCCTGGACAGTACATAGTGTTGCATGGTGTGACAGGACCCACTGGCACATAGGCAGGTGACCAAAAGGTGATCATAAATGGTGAGCTCGAGTGGGCCTGAATTTAGTTTATGTGACTGTAGGGCATTGCAATGGCTGAAACTTTGAGGACTGATCATAAGTTCCATCATTTAGTTAACTTTGAACAGTCACTGAATGTACTGATATTAAGCAAGAACTACCCATAAATAATAGTGATTAAAAAGAAAGAATATTATTTTGGCTTATAAAGGTCTGTAAAAAGAAGAGTTTTAAGGGACTATTTAAACTTTAGGAAACCTAAAGATACACAGTATTAAAGAGGGAGTTGATGCCAGAGAGTAGGAGCTAAATGGAAAAAAACACTAAAATATAAAGTGTCAATTTTTAACATGAATGAAAACCAATTGTTCTTAATTACACAATGAAGCTGAGCATATGCCCTTTTAATTTAACTTTAATTTTTAAGTTAATGTAGGACTATTTCAGTGAATTTTGTGCAGATTTGGGGAGTTTTATTTCTTTTTTCTCAACTCCCTTCTGATACAAAGTATGCTATGTTCATTTTGCATTATCAAGTAGGAAAGTATATTACTGTGTTTAGCATTTAATGTATATAAATATTTTATGCATATGAAATAAGAGTGGAGATACTTACATGTTGATGATTGATTAATACTTTTTAATATCGAACTTTTTTTAGAAAATGTTTGATGCATTTTGCAAAACTATGGAACACCGATGACATTGAAGAACTTCGAAGATGGAAATATGCGTCTGAAGTAGATAATGATTTCAGCCAATTTAAAAATTCCACAGAGCTCTCCAACTAAAAATGAAAATAGAATACAAGGTTTAATAATATCTCACAAGAAGAAATATATGTGAATAAAGTAAAAGTTTAGATCATTTAGGGATATAGTAATAGATTTTAATAACAATGCCTAGTTCACATAATCACTTTTGGTTTTAATTTCTGTAAACTAACTTCAAGAATGAGTTATGCAGAATGGAGTACATAAACTAAAACGTTAGGAACTCCTCTACATCCAAAAATCTTAAAGAGCCTTTCATCTCATTCTATTTTCATAATGAAAATTACATAATTTTCACCTAGATTAGCATTTGTGGAGTGGAAAGAAATGAACAGGTAACCAAAAGGTGCTTCTGTGTTTTTTTTCCTCAGAATAACAGCATGATGGAGGAGTTTGTTTAACAAATACGTGGAATATAGAAGTCATTTTCCCTAGTGCTATTGTTTTTACTTTTAAACCAAGTATACTCATTTCACAGAGTTCTTGTCACGTTGTCAGACTCTTGTAGCTAGAAATCATTGCAAAATATATTTTATATAATATCATCTTGATGAAGTCATGGCCAATTATGAAAGCAAAAACAATCCATGTTGCATTATTTAATATCAGTGGATATTTTTGTACTAAACTTCAATTTTTTAATTTTTCAAATTGCTTCCAAAAATCTGGTGACTTTATATGCTGAAAATAAAAATATTGTTACATTTTTCTATATTATGTGTCAACACATCATATTTCCCCCCACCGCAGAACTGTATATATCTGAAAAGTTAGTATACATCTGAAAAACTTTTCCCTATCCTGGTGGATGATTATGATTGTTTATGGAAACATGAAAATTATGTAACTATAAATTATATTAAAATAAATTTCTATTTATACCTGGCTGTGAAAGATGTGTTCATTTCTAAAACAACTAAAATAGCAGAAGAATAAATTAATTCTTTGGGTTTCTCAAATGCAAAATAATTTCTTTTTATAGAACAGTACAGAATGAAGTTTTCATATTTTATACTATTCTTTTTTGAAAAAATGAATCGATCTTTGTCCTTCCTGCAGAATAATCTTTAGATTAGAGTTAGCAATCTTCAATCAATTGCAGTTACAGTTCATCAAGAAAATGGTGGAATGTGTGGTAAACATGGATGGATTGATAGATGATAGGTAGGTAGGTAGGTAGGTAGGTAGATAGATAGATAGATAGATTGATAGATAGATAGATAGATAGATAGATAGATGATAGATAGATAATAGATAGATAGATAGAAAGAAAAAGAAAGAACAAAAGAAAAAGAAATACATATGAACTGGAATGGTTTGTGTGGTTTCAAATGATATTCTATATAGCCTTCTAAGATAAAAACAAACTAAAAAGCTCTTAATACCCAAAATCTTTCTATTAATGAATATAAATTTACAAGCTCGAACAAAACAGTTAATTTGAACATGTCATGGTCAGAACAGATAACATGAGATGTCAAGTATCTCAGATTGTTAAACACAGTGACAGTAGATAAATAGTGACTAATATTTATTTAAAAACTCTTGAAGTGATACTAAATTTTGTGCTGACTGAAGGAACCTCCAGAAAACCTTTTTCCAGTTCCTTATTATAAGGGAGTTCAAACTGGCTGGCTGGCTGGCTGTATGTAGCTGAACCTGTCATGCCATGCTAGTGTCTTGTTTGGGAAATGGAAGCTGCTGCAAACTGGGAGGTTGCCAAAAAGGAAAAAAATATTGTCCCAGATGGCTACCGCACTTTACACACTTCCTCTATTGATTATATCTCGGGAAGTTGTTGCCATGCAACTGCAAATATATGCAAATGATTGTCCAATTTTTAAAGTAGTGCTTACAAGTGCTGATAAGAATGAAGGGATCTAGATTTTAAGAGACACTTGTTTATGGGGTCTTGAGGACTTTTGTTAATCACAAAATTACAAACTCTTCTATTTTATTTATACATACATTCATGCATTTAAAATTATTAATGTTTCCTGAATCACATAATGGTTTGCAACAGAGAATACAAAAAATAAATAAATCCCAAACTAATGAAATTAAAAAAGGTTTTCTACTACCAATGCCCAAATGTTCTGAAGAAAAATGGAAGTACTTAGTGCCTTCTTAAAGGAAATATATACATTTTGTATCAACCAGGCAGTGTTTCTTGCAGTAATAAATTAGCTTCTACAGTTTCGGTACAGGCAAGGCCTCAAGGCCACACGTAGGCTGAAAGCGTGTACCAGGAACATCAATCAACAACACGTCACCATGGGCTAATAACTGGACTGCAAACGCTAATTGGCTACTTTGTACCCTCTAAACTGACCTTATGCACTGTAATTGGATGTAACTATGTGTCCACTAATATTTCTGCTCATGTAACATAATGATTGGATAGAATTCACCGCTTATGACGTATCACTATGTGTTTTTAATAAAAGAGCTTCCCGAACTTGTGATCGGGGCAACTCACTCAAGATAGAACCTGCGTTGGTGTCTTTCTTGATGCATTCGACCACCCAGTGAGAAGCCTTCCTAATGCGGAGCAAAGCTGCATTTCTGAGTGCTGGCAGCCATTGTGAAAGCATATTGATGGGTTCTCAGCCACACACACCGTTTTGAAGACCCATTTTAAAATAAAAGCAAGCTAACCCTTGCCAGAAAGATGATCCTGCAAGTTCCTGGAGGATGTAGGTTGAACCTTGTAAGACTAAAAGTAATCACCAGCACTTTGGATTCAATATAGAAGCAATCCGGTACTGGAGAGCTGCTGTGGTATCAGTAACATTGCTAAATTTGCCCTCCCTTATTTAGCAGATAGGCTGTTGCATTTCCAGCCAGTTGAAGCTTCCATCCTCAAAGACAGTTTCATGTACAGTATATTGCAATGGTTTACTTTTCTGACACTAGCTGGCAATACTTGGTCTTCCATTATAAATTGCAGAGAATCAGTGTGACTGCAGTGAAAGTATGATCAATAAATAATATCTCAAAGCTTTATCAGTTTGATGCAATAACCGCTTTGAACATTCTCTTTCCTAGCTTCAAACTCTTAAATCTTTTCTTTTGCTTCACCATCACTGAATTGTATGTACAGTAGAACCACTGGTCACAACCATAATTCGTTTCATAACTTTGGCGATTTCTTTGTCTTCTAATGCTTCATCTTCAGGAATTTCTGAGTCAGGGTTGTGTTTGATCACCACCCAAGTATGTGTTTGTAACCAGATTCAAAAACTTTTTGGCCCAGCTATCTGTCTGCCTGGTGAGTCTTTCTTTGCCGGTGCGAGCAGCTTCTGCCTCTTTGCCGGCCCAAATAGAGGCAGCTGTCACTGCCTCTGCCAGTATGAGTAGCCTCCAGCTACCACCGCTTTGCCGGCCTGAGCAGCCTTCATCCACCATCTCTTTGCTGGCCTGAACCAAGGTGACAACTGCCACCTCTTTGCTAGTGCAAGCGGCCTCCAGTCACCACTTCTTTGCCGGCTGGAAGTGAGCTGGCAGTGCCTGCAGCCTCGGTTCAGGCTCAAACTGCCACCTGCTTGCACCGGAAAAGAATGGCAGCTGGAGGCCCCTTGTGCTGTAAAAGAGCGGCGGCTGAAAACTGCTCTTACCGAAAAAGAGCGGTGGCTGGAGGCCCCTCACACTGGAAAAGAATGGCGGCTGGAGTCCGCTCTCACTGAAAAAGCAGTGGCTGGAGGCCAGTGTCTTGGGGTGGAATCATGCCCAGCTGCGTCAACAAAGCGGAAGTAGCCGCCTGCCGTTTCCTGCTACAAAAATATTTTTAAAAATCCTGTCGGACAGTGAGATCCAGTAAGAGATGAGTCAGAGAATCACTGTTGCTGTTGCTGCACAAAGGTAAGTCTAAGGGTCCGGTTATTGCCACTGCCGCTTCGGCCTGCCTGCGCCGCCGCACCTTGCCGTGAGTGACATTGAGTTGGCCATGCCCACTCAGACACATAACCCCCCTCAGCCACACCCACCCCATCATTAGGAAGAACCAGTTGCTAAATTAGTTGGATCTTACCACTGTATATATGTCTTATCACAAATAAGTGAAAAAAAATAATGCTTGTTCATTAGAAAGGCCAAGTATTCTACAACATGATTTATTTATTTGTTTGTTTGTTAAACATGTACAAGATAGCAGGTATAAGTATGAACATAAACATGAACAAAGGAAGTAAATACTGATAGATGGGGACAGTAGGCATGCTGGTGCGCTTATGGACACCCCCTTGTCAGTGTCGTTTTGACAGAATGTGATTGTAGGATTTCAATTTTTATTAGATTTTGAACAGGAGCTCAAGATAACATGTAATTGTCCCTCCTAGTTTTCCCTACAACAACCCTACAAGATTGGTTGGCCTGGAATACAAAATCATCCAAGCTTTTGTAGCTAAGAATCCTTAGAAGAAAATAGAACTTGAAACTCCTGGTCTTTCTTTAATACAGTATATTAACTACTATGCCACCCTGACTCTCCCATTCTTACTTGGCATTTGAATAAGAAATATGTATACATTCAATCTATCTATTCTAATTAAAATTGAGCATGTTTATGTCTGTGGTTTATTATGTGTAGGAAGGCCTCCCTCCCTGAATAAAATATTCCACAGAATAAGAAAAAAGGCAGAATGGACTATTTCTCCTAAAGGAGAAGAGGAGAAAAATCTTAACAAAGACAAGAAAGCAGTCCCAGACGTTCTTCCACTAAAACAGCCTGCAGGGCAAGCAAAGCTTAAGGAAAGAAACTAAGTTTCATCCATAAAACAATGTCTACATTATAACCCTAGACCTGGCTAAAGCAATCTCCAAATAGATGACGGAATAGACTAGTAGATGAAACGGACAAGATTAGGCTGACAGGATTAGAGCAAGGAAACGAACACCTAGGATTGTGTATTTCCCCTTTACCTCTACGGTTGGTCACGACCTTGCAGACCATAATAGAAATCTTGCAACACAATTAAACAATAAAGGACACAAAAACCCAGTCATCCCAATTACAAACCCCCCAAATTTAAAAACTCATCTACTGACCAGACCAATTTGCTAGCTGCCCCAAGAAACGCTTGCTGTTGTCACTGTTGCTACTGGGCCAATAAACCTTTCCAATTGACTCCAACTTATTATCCTGCCTCCAACGTATTATCTTTTGCCTGCGTTTGTCTCCCATCTTGGAATAAGACACATACTAGATTTAACTTCCAACATATGTAAATAGGTTCCATTTTGTGTTTTGAATTAATTTTTGAAACAACAATAATACAAAGTTTAATTGTTCCTAACTGTAAAAGTCTAAATTGTATAATCAATTTCTTCTGTGTATCTATGTAGGCAGTATTTTGATCAGTCATTACCATTAATTGCTTTTCAAGTTTTGCTGTATTATTTTAAAATTAGAATAGAAAGTAAAATCCTCCTGGGTAGGCATTAAAAACTAAACATTGCATAAGATGTTCCTGCTTGGTTTAAATATTAAATTAATTTTGCATAGAATAAAAGAACTGCAAGTCTCAAGAATTCACTTGGTTTATTCCTTTAGTTGGGATAAGCTCCATTTATATATTATTATGAGCTGAGATTATTATCTTTTGCTCCTGCTTTGTCCAGTTTTGATAACAGCTTATTTTTTTCTTAAATAGTTGCATCACACAATAATAATATAGCTATATTTGAGATTCACAATGGCCTATTTAAAAAAAAACTCTGAAGTCTTAAAAGAGGGAGAAATACTTAAATTCAAATATGTATTGCAAGTTCAGTTATATTTGGAAATTTTATTATATCCATTTGCTGACATTTTGATCCAGGTTCAGCAGACCAAATGTTTAAGGTTGATATTAGTACTATGTTCCTTATATCA